GAAGTTTTGGAAGATCACTGCGTTGGCAGTAGTAGAGCTCCAAAGTACCCATGGTGACAGAAAGTGTAGTACCAGTTCTTGTAATATTTAATGAAGAAGTTTTGGAAGGTGTAGTAACAGTTTCCCTGACGTTTATTGGAGATGTTTTCTAAAAGATAACTCTTTTTTTTTGACACTATAAGCCCATAAAGTATCCGTACCGACAGAAAGGGTAGTACTAGTTCCTCTGATCTCAACAGTAATGGGATCATCCTTGGCTCTTTGATGCCATTTCAAGAACTTGATGCTATCCGTGTTGTACAGGTCAAAGATGTTGCCAGTTCTTCAACATCCACCTGATATTCTGAGGACACTTTTCCACAGCTCACAAAACATTTTCAACTTTGCCAACTTCACTGATACTTTTCGATCACGGGAGATGGAGCTTTTGGAATTGCATGTTAACCTTAATAAGTAAGCTTAGAGGTGGAGCTACTAAGGTAAAAATTGTGTACTCTGCGTTTGAGAGTTTTTTAATGGAACCAGTCTATCAAAGTGTTTTAACGTTCGATGAAATAAATTCACATTTTCCTTTCGGAATTAAAGTAAGTAAAATACTAGGCTAGTACCAGACACGCTTGATGATTCCCGAGATATAAGGCAACCATTGAAAGAACGTACCTTAGAAAGCTCTGCCTTATTACGTTATCTATTTGTGAGTCATTCACCTTTTCCCTCATTTTTGGCCAACGTATAATGAATGTTTCCAGTTGGAAATGTTAGAAGCTATTGCTTATACAATTCTCGCAAATAGATGTGGCAAATTGGGAGTGGCACAGCGAAGGCTTCTAACGCTAAAAACCTGGTTTCGATACTCATGGTGAGGACAGCACAGATATCCAGTTGTATAGCTTTATGCTTAACTACAAACAAACAAAAGCAAATTGGGAAAAAAAGCCTGCCATTCATACGCACACACACACAAAAGATGATGTTTGTTTACACTGACTCTTTTTATATATATTTCTGGAGTATGCTTACAGCTGACCTGTTTGTTATATTTATTTTTTCTGGTGTTTGTTTACACTGAAGTTTTTAATATATATTTCTGGAGCTTGTTTACAGCTGGCTTGTTTGTTATATTTCTCTTTCGGGTGTTTGTTACACTGATTCTATTTATATAGTTCTGGAGTGTTTTTACAGCTGACCTGTTTGATACACTTCTCTTTATGGTGTTCGTTTACACTGGCTGTTTTGATATATTTCTGGATTTTATTTACACTGACTTGTTTATATATTTCTGGACTATGCTTACAGCTAACCTGTTTGTTATAATTGTCTTTCTGTTGTTTGTTTACACTGACTTTTTTGATATATTTCTGGAGTATGTTTACAGCTGACCTGTATGTTATATTTCTCTTTCGGTGTTTGTTTACAGCTGACCTGTTTGTTATATTCCTTTTTCTGATGTTTTTTTTACACTGACGTTTTGATATATTTCTTTTTCTGGTGTTTGTTTATACTGACGGTTTGATATTTTCTGGAGTATGTTTACAGCTGACCTGTTTGTTATATTTCTGTTTCTGGTGATCGTTTACACTGACTTATTATTTGATATATCTCTGGAGTACCTTTACAGCTGACCTGTTTATTATATTTCTCTTTCTGGTGTCTGTTTACACTGACGTATTATTTTATATATTTCAGGAGTACCTTTACAGCCGACATGTTTCTTGTAGTTACATTTTTGATGTTTGTTTAAACTGAATTATTATTAGATATATTTCTGGAGTACGTTTACAGCTAGCTGACCTGTTTGTTATATTTTTTTTTTCTGGTGTTTATTTAAACTGAATTATTATTTGATATATTTCTGGAGTATGTTTACAGCTGGGTTATTCGACGTATAATTTCTCCTTCTGGGGGTTGTTTACAGCTGATATATTCTCGTTTTGGAACCTTTATTTTGTATATTTTAACAAACCTCCACAATTCTTTTTCAGGATATACAGACCATACAGGAAAATTTCAGAAAAAGCTAAATGAACATTTCTTCTTGACGGATCCCGAGGCTTTAATTTGGACTCATTTTCCACACGATGAGTTGGAGAATGATTACTGCAGGTAGCGTATTATCTTGCTGTACATTTTCTTAGTTAACTTAATAACTTTGTTTTCTGAAAGCATAAAATAAATACATCATGTCCACTTACATACTACTTTTTCTTCTTCAGTAAAGTATTCAAATCATCTTCTTTTTGCCAAGTTCCGAAGAAATTCAAAATATATTGAGAAGTCAATGGAATATTATAACAAGCCCTAAGTAACAGTAATTTCTTCTGTCTGTTTGATTTTCCAGTTTAAAATATAAATGTACACATTAAAATGCTTTTAGGCCCGGCATGGCCAGGTGGTTAGGGCTCTCGACTCGCAATCTGAGGGTCGCGGGTTCGAATCCCCGTCACACCAAACATGTTCGCCCTTTCAGCCGTGGGGGCGTTATAGTGTGACGGTCAATCCCACTATCCGTTGGTAAAAGAGTAGCCCAAGAGTTGGCGGTGGGTGGTGATGACTAGCCTTCCTCTCTAATCTTACATTGCTAAATTAGGGACGGCTACCGCAGATAGTCCTCGTGTAGCTTTGTGCGAAATTCATAACAAACAAACAGACAAATAATGCTTTGATACGTTGAACAGTGAATGCTGGTCATAAAGTAAAGCTTTAAGCGTTGATATATTCAAAGCTATAAATTCGAGATGTATCGTTACTAAAGTATTACTTTTGTTTAAATATTTGGATACTACTTCTTAACTAATTCTCTTTTAATTCTCACAGACTGAATAGAACTCTTAATTGTGTATTTAGAACTCATTCGTCATTAAACTCAATTGTTTAAAAAGTGGACGAGGTGAGTAACGGTATAGTTATTACTATAATCAGTAAACGACAAGTAGAATAAAAATATTGTTTCACTCGGACTCAGAGTTTGAAAACTGAGTACTCAAAACTATCATACACGTAAAATAAATTCAACATTTTCTGATATTTCTATTTTTTTTTGTTTTTTTTTTCAGGTGGCAACTGCTCGACAAGCCAATCACTTTGGAGCATTTTAATGCTTTGCCCAAGGTGACGCCATTTTTCTTCCAATACAATCTCAAAATACGATCTCGTCCACAAAATCCAATGAAATGTAAAGTACAAACTGAGATCAAACTTGGAGCTCACGAGCCTATGCGGTACAAGTTCAAAATGTATCCCGCTGACGAACTAGAAAACTCGTCACTGAATAACTACGTCTTCTGTCAGCTCAAAGAAGACCGTTTAGTCGGATCGTTTGTAATCTCTCCGCCGATAGAGGGCAGGTACTACTTTAAAATCTACGCCAAGCCGGAGAAGGATATGAATGATGACACTACTCTTCACAGTGTCATCATTTTCCTCGTGGAGTGTGAACGAGCGAGGAAATATATCCAACCATATCCACTGAACGAGGTTCCCTGGGGTCCAACACAAAGCTTCTTTAATTTCAACATGAAGCTAATCAACCAATCAGGGCCTCTCATCGTGACGTGGGGTGGACGAAGGAAGGTGACACTGGAGATGAGCACGTCTATGTTGATTACTCCTCAAATGTTTGATGCGGATGGCATGGAACTAGACCTTAAGAGTGTTCTTATTCGAGAGGATCATGACAATCGAATCACCTTTACCATCCTCCCGTTTCGCGTTGGTCTCTATAAGCTAATGATCTTCGGAATGCCAAAACCCAAGCAGAAAGGGAAATGGAGACTACCCCTCATCGCTTCGTTTTTGATCGACTGTAAACTAACGAAACAAAACAATGAAGACGATTTACCTTCACCTACAGGAAGAAGTACAGGGAAAAAAAGCTTCTAAGACTAACAAAAGAGTAAGAATTGTCCCTGTCCATTGAACTGTAAACAATACGAGTTGCCGCTCTGTTATTTTCATAGTATCTAAACGTACGACAAACAAAGAGTAGCCTTCAAGTCCCCGTCTTTACATAGAAACTTTGGGATCTGCTTCAAAAGACGCTTCCACAGAAAAAATGTCCCGAAAACACCAACAGAGAATTATAATTTGAACATCCAAACAACGAAGTGGGTAAATCATTGAACTAAATAAAAATAATAGAACCTCTATTCTCTGTCTCTCTAAATCCAATAGTGACTTTAGGAAGAGACTTACAAGTGAAAAGTTAAGTAAGAACAGAACGTTTGATGTTTGTCGTTCTGTGAAGTTACCAAGTTTGTTGTAGGAACCATTGTGTATAGCCTCCAATATTTTTCAACACTTAATACCACAGCACATTCTATGCTTTTATATAGAATTCTGAGGTTATATTCTTATCTTTTCTGGTGTATGCATAAAGCTAACCTTCAATTGTATTATAATTTCATAAAAAGAACACTATATAACATATTTTCAGTTCACACCAAAGTGCTATTTGCTAGTTGTTTTGAAAACGAAATACTTAGAATACAATTAAAAGTTATGTGATATAAGTTACACCTGAGAGAGGTTTATCAAAGTCCGGTCATTAGTTGTGTATTAACTCATTTGTGAATAGTTTATCGGTTTTTTGGAAACTGGAATCAAAATGTTATTGTGTAAATCTTGTAGAAGTTAGGGCTAGCCTTACTCATTAAGTGTGGTTTTTCGTGACGTCATATGCATCACCGTAACTAGAGCCAATCAATATTCTACCAAGGTCAAACTTGTGTTTCAAGCTAGAGCTTCTAATCATATATATATGTGTGTGTGTATTTGAGAGTGAGTGAATGAAGGAAGCCAAAAAAAAAAAAACAACAACCCCAAAACCGAGGATATGACCTGGGTATCCGCATAACAAGCTACGGCCCTGGTCATACGCATTTACTTGAGCCTATAAAAAGCCGGTGACCAAAACTGTAACGAAACAATTTCCTTTACTATTGATATAAATAAAGAACACTCATATTAACAGTAATTTTGTAATGTGTTCTAATTTTCATAACTGAAATTGTTCATATGGTCTTGAAAATGAATAAAATTGTCGTGGAAATAAATTACATTAAAGAAATGTTATGTTACTTATCTTTGATAGGTTGTTTAGGCAGAGTATTCATAATGAATCTAAGTTTCAAATGGACACCAACTGCCTGTTGTAGAAACCTACAAGTGTAGAGGACAACGTTTCGAAAGTCTTCCGCCTTTCGTCTTCAGGTCGTCCTCTACATTTGTATGTTTCTACAACAGGCAGTTGCTGCCCACTTGAAACTTAGGTTCATTATGTTACTTATGTTTTATGTTATTTAATGAAAGTTCACCCCTCAAAATATTTCATAATCGTTAACACGACAGTATCTCAAGTAAACAATTGTCCGTGTTTCCTACCATTGAATACAGAGGGCCTGTCTAAAATCTCAATGTTTATAATCCACTTAGGGGATCAGTTAAACAAATAACTAAGGCATGTATCAAACCTTATCACCTAAACTTACAATCATCTCATTGAAATCCTAATATTGTAAATCGGTAGAGAAAAGTAAAATCCATGCAATGTTAAACCTAAGAAAATTGTATACAATCTTACGAAATGGTGACCGATTGAGTACTTAACAAACTAATCTAGCAAGTCGTACAGTAATGATTAAAGCACTAAGCTTAATTGAAAGTGGAAAAAAAAGTTTTCCCGTGATTTGGAAGAGACCGAGTGTGAAACATGAACGAAGCTAGCATAAAAATGATATTGTTGTTAAGTCTGGCAACTCACAGAATATTATCTATGCCTCATATATATATATTAAATCAGATAGATGCACGCGGAGTCTTTGCCTTAAGTATCTCATGGTATTAAAATAATCGAGTGATATTTCTAGCTGATTGTTTTATTCTCGATAAATTCTTTTATGATAATTAATAAATGCACGAACATGATAATATATATATATGAATATACGTGTAAACCACATTTGACCATACTCTGACAGACCATTTTTAAAGTTAAAACAATACATCACCTTGTTGTCCGTATTGGTTTTGGTTTTGATATCCAGTTTAACCATTTTTATAGTCAGGAGTTCAGAAATAAAATATATTTATAATATTACAGTGAAACAAAAGGAGTCCAACAAATCAATCCAGATAGACGTGTAATTATAGCTATATTTTTCATCGGGGACAAAGCACAATATATGTATATTAGATGTTTTGACACACAAGTGCTTTTGTTTGTATATTATAACAAAATTTATGACACACAAGTGCTTGTAATTGTATATCATAACCAAGTTTCTGACACACAAGTACTTGTATTTGTATATTATAACCAAGTCTGTGACACACAAGTGCTTGTATTTGTATACCAGAACCAAGTTTGTGACACACATAAGCTTGTATTTATATATCATAACCAAGTTTATGACACACAAGTGCTTGTACTTGTATATCATAACCAAGTTTATGATACACAAGAACTTGTATAACATAAACAAGTTTATGACACACAAATACTTATACTTGTATATCATATCCCAGTTTGTGACACACAAATGTCTATACTTGTATATCATATCCAAGTTTGTGACACACATGTGCTTGTATTTGTATGTCATAACCAAGTTTATGACATACAAATGCCTATACTTGTATATCATATCCAAGTTTGTGACACACACGTGCTTGTATTTGTATGTCATAACCAAGTTTATGATACACAAGTGCATATGTTTGTATATCATATCCAAGTTTGTGACACACGTGCTTGTATTTGTATGCCATAACCAAGTTTATGATACACAAGTGCATATATTTGTATATCAATGTATAATCTATTATATAGTTATTGTTATGTTAAACAAATTTAAAAGTTTGCAATTTTCAAAATGGTTATCTAGTTCAATCTTATGATAACAATTCTTCTTTTCTTTTTAGAGACAAGACCTGTTAACAGGTTTGTTAGAATATAAAGTTACCTCATTTTAAAGCAAGTATGCAAGTGAGCACAATATGTTGTACTTTAACACTTCCGTCGTTTTAGAAATAGTTAATATAATCTTCATATATGTAATACATATATACAGATTATATGTTACACTAAGATAAAATGTTAATGTTTAGGCGGTAAACAAAAAATAAATCAAAGATAAAAACTGTATATAGGTCTATTGTAGAGTATATAAATATCAACTGTTTTGTAGAAATTATTTCAATAAAACGTTCTACAACAAAGACTAATTGAGTCTGACTTGCAATATATTTGGTTTTATCGTGATGTCGTAAAGTCAACGTCATTGGACGTTGCTGATATGTCTCGTGTTTGTTTTGTTTTTGTTCGTTCATTAGTCCAGTTGTTTAATATCAAAATGTTGTCATATATGATGTCATTATTGTAATGCTATCAACTGTCATTTCGATAAAATTCATTTTGGAGTTGCTGTAAAAAAATATATTCCACAATTAAAGTCAACAGCGACAGGTACTGAACCCTTGCTATTATAAGCTTTGTTTTTAGTCTTAAAGTGTACATTTCAGAACACTGGTAAAAGTAGTGAAATAGCCTTATCGAATATCTCTAATATCTCTTTTAAATGCAAGGAGAAATATCAGAGTAACTTTCACACAGTAAAGAATAGTGTGCATTGTAACTTTCACACAATAAAGAATAGTGTGCATTGTAACTTTCACACAGTAAAGAATAGTGTGCATTGTAACTTTCACACAGTAAAGAATAGTGTGCATTGTAACTTTTACACGTGGAAATATCTGGTTCCACTAAACAAAATTAAAACAAAACGACTTTACTCGTGGGCGCTTCTCATACGGCGTCAAAAGCGACAAATGTGTGCAATACGAGTGATATTTCTCAGAATATATAAATATACACCTGGAAAAAAGTTAAGCACCCCCGTGTTTTTTTCAAGTGATTCAGATTCGACGTTCTTGTGACTGATTATAAATTACCATTCAATCTAAACGTGTTTATCAAATGAAATTATGCATTATTGGGCACAAG